TCTTTAATTGGCATTTTATTGTTTAAGTGTTTTTAATTATTTAATTGGGTTATTTAATTGGAATTAATTAGTTAAGTGGATTTAATTCAATTTCTTATTTTTTTTCATTTAATTCTGTTTTAAGTTACAGTTAAATTTAGGGTTGCAATTACATAGGTGGCCGACGTAGGTATTTATCTTAGGTCGGTTTATGGGCCGAGATGGGCTCTGGCTTTAAGGTTACATGGATTAGGGTTTAATCACTAAGCCTATAAGTATATGTGTCACGGTGGTTTAGGGTTTGAGAATAATTAAACGTAATTTCTGTAAAAACAACAGAGACCATCAGATACAGAGAGAGAGAAACAGAGAGTAGTTGTGGGAAAACAGAGTGAGGCTTAAGAGGATTTGTACAGAGAGGACCAAGGAGGTTGAGTAAGGATTAGAGACAGAGTTATAGGAAGCTTGGCGGCGTTCAGAATTACAGGAAAACTTAGAGACGACACAGGGATTTCATAATTGAAATCACAGGCAAGTTCTTCTCTTCCTCCTTCCCTTTGGCTCGTGTTCTGTGCACCTAGATAGTCTCTAGGGATTAACTAATTAGTAAATGAAACTTATGTGTTCAATGTATGCTTGTTGATGATTTGTTTGCATTGAATCCAAATCTGTTTATAGTTCGTGTATTATTGCTTCATGTTCTGTTCATTAAAGCATATTAAAAATCTGTTGAGTTTTGGTTATGATTCTTGCCTCTATGTTCTGTAAACAAACCCTAGGGATGTTAATGGGATGTTATAAGACTCCTAAGATCAGTTTGTGAAGAGAAACAGAGAGGTTGGAATAGAATTATAATTTCAGTTTTGTTCCTAACGTAGGTTAGTTCGGTAGCAAATTTAGTCTCTGTAATTGTTTTTAATTGTTGTTATCAAGCCATTGGGAGGCTACTAGGTATTAATATGACACCTAAGTTTGGTTTTAAAAACTAACAGAGGGTTAGTAATAAGCCGGAGAAGGAGCACAAGAGCTGAAACACGCACCGGGGACGAAGGCTCTCAAAGGAGGTGAGAGCCGGCTCCATGGAAGTGGGAGCCGGCTCCCACAACAAAGTGGAGCGGCTCTAGGGAGTCCTAGAGCTGGCTCTAGGCTAGAAAAGAGCCTGCTCCAAATTCTGGAGCAGGCTCCCTTGTTATTTTTGATTTATTTTACGATTTTTTTAAATTTTCTACATACTATGTTCACTGTTGGAGCATGGAGACTGTTTGAATGAATTTGGAACTTTACAGAGGGATCAAGGAATGAATTTTGAGTGTTATTAAGACCCCAAATTGAGTAAAGTTTAATTCTAAGTTGTCGGGACAAACAGTGTAAAAATTAAGGCACTTAAAAAATGGAAGTTGAATTAATTGTTGAATTAAAATTCAGCAATTTGATGGAACATAATGTGTTTATAAAACTTGTTTTAGAATGCATTCAAGAGCATGATAAGGTCAGTTAATTATTAATTTTGATCTATGCATGCTTAGGAGGCTAGTTGCTGAATTGTTAAATTGTTTACTGCAACTATATGGTTAATGCTTGGATTTAAACTGCTGAAATATTTAAACAATCTTCTGAATTGTTTTAGCAATTTATTGGTTAATAATAGGATTATTTAACCTATTCACATGCATGATGGAGTCCCTGACATATTAAATTTGGTCTATGCATGCTCTGGATGTTAGTTGTTGATTTGTTAAATCGTCTCCTGCAACTATATGGTTAAATGCTTGGATTTAAATTGCTGAAGCTTTAAATATTTTTCTGCAATTGTTTGGATGGTAGTTTTTGGTCTATAAATTATTGAACTGTTATATATGTTGTAATTTACATGGATATGGAGGATGGTATGTACCGGTATGGGACGGTGATATACTAGGGACGGTTTAGCTTAAAACGCATAAACCTAACCTAATGGATTAATGGAATGGATTGAAAGATATCGAATCCTAATTGTGACTGAGTCAGATCAGCTGTAAACAAGTTGGATGACTTCCTGGATTAACGGATGGTAGTTAAGTCATATCAACTGAATAAGTTGAATGACTAACTAGTTGGTTTATTGTATGACAGTTTAATAAATAGTTGAACTGCATACCCTGAATTTGGACGGACTTTATATATATGGTTTTGGTACCACGAGTTGAGCTTGAGTCTCAGACTCGTTGGTTAGGGTACGTATATGCAGTGGATGCGTAGCTGGTTATAATAGGTTGAGGTGTACCCTGTTAGGTCTAGGTACTCATGCCCACCTTTGGGTGCGTATTCGCATGTTGCCTTCTATTCAGGTTGAGACCCCTATTATAGACTGGTGAATGTCCCTTAGTGTGGATATATTTATACGTATGGACTAGATAGATGTTGTGAGGTGTCTACGGTGTATCTACGTATCGGGTCACTGTATGGATTGCAGTTAGATTAGAACTTGCTCGTGGGTCTGACCCACTCCTTTATTATTCTTTTCAGGTACAGGACGGTTCCAGCCTTAGAGCTTGATCGTGCTTGTCGAGGACAGTCTCACCTTCATCTGATTACGTAAGACTTCTCTCGATATTTCTAGCATTATCTATTTTCAGTTTTCAGTTTCAGTTGAACTTTTGGTTAGGGGTCCATCAGTGGATTCCCAAGTTGTAACCTTGAAGTTTTGGAGGATTGGATTTTCAATTTTCAGTTATACATGGAGGATTTTATAATTAATGTTACTTTCAGTTTTATTCCATCACTTTTGTTTCATTTTGTCATCTGTGTTCGCTTTAAAATACTTTAATTGTTTGATATTCCCTCGGGTTTGGGTTTGGGCCTGGGCCTGATTAACCCGTGTCTCGGATCCGAGGGGTATCACATAGCTCTTCCACCACAATGTACCCACCTATCAGGGAACAACCCCTGTTACTTTATCTCACCTCAACTGATAAGTCTATTGGTGCCCGTCTCGGGCATATGATTGACGGCCAGGAACTCCCAATCTATTATCTCAGTCGCATTATCCGTGAGGTCGACGCTCGATACTCAACCATTGAGTGCCACTGCCTCGCGCTTATCTTCGCAGCACAAAAGTTCAAATATTATTTCATGGCCCACCCTATTCATTTGATCACACATTGCGACCCTTATCGGCATCTCTTCTCCAAACCCATCCTTTTTGGTAAAACATCACGCTGGCCCTTAGCCACCCCTTACGGGGCACTAAGAGCCAAGCGCTATCTGATCTACTCGCATAATTCCCAGAGCAAAAGCATGAGCCCCTCGATAATGCCCTACCACTCCAGGTTACCACAGTATAGGACAGTTACGGTGAGTGGCAACACACTTTCGATGGATCTTCCACTAGCACGGGAGGAGGAGCAGGAATTGTTCTCACATCTCCAACTCAGCAAATCACTGCGGCCTTCAAACTTGTTTTTCGCTACTCCAACAACAAAGCTGAATATGAGGCGCTAATCCTTGGCCTTCTCACCGCCCTAGACAGGGACATTTCCAAACTTTGTATTTGTGGAGACTCCAAACTAGTCATCAAACAGGTCACTGGGGAGTATGTTATCCGCAAACCTTCACTCGTATCTTACTGCACAATTATCCAGAAGCTTTTCGCGCGCTTCCCTTTTATTTGGTTTACTCACTTGCCTCGCTCTAACAATCGCTACACGGATACACTTGCAACATTGGCTTATAAACTCATAATCATAGATGATATGACCTAACTTCATATCATTAAACGCATTGGTCCTTCCATAATCATCGAACTTTTCCCAACTAGGACCTCTTAAGCAATGACTGGCAGGCCCCAATTATTACTTAACTAAGGCATATGACTGGGTCGATTCCCACCACTCAATTGACAGCATTCCAACTCTTGCAAGGGTTTCTATACTTTCGCTTACCATGTGGAGCATTGGCTAGGTGTCTTGGCCCCTAAGAAGCCAAAGCAATTCTCAAAGCCACCCATAAATAGCACTGTGCTACCCCTCTAGCGCTACATCGACGATTCCAGCGCCAGGGTTACTACTGCCCAACATGGCAGTGCAGGCCAATGTCCTCCAAGGCACCTGTTTGCGGTGTCAAGCAATATTGGATGAAACTAAGGCTTGTGTTCTTAATGTCGCACACTGGTGTCACCTATTTATCAAGTTCCTATCGTAGGGCGCTCTACTAGAGAACAAGTATGCTGTAGCAAAGGTAAAAGAAAATCTGCACGGTTTGAGCTTCGGGAAGGCGAGCTTTTTTGCCGCGCCCTCAATGACACATACTTGCAATGTTTGGCTCCGAGTAAGGCCATAGAGGCACTCAACACGGCTCACCAACCAAAGCACTAAGACATGCACAAGCTTTTTGCACACTTGTTGCACAAAGGATTTTACTGGCACACAATGGCACGCGATGCCCAGTCTTACGTGTAGAGGTGCCGGCCTTAGCAACACCATCATCATCAAATACATACTCCAGCTACACCTCTTTATCCCATTGAGGCTCCTTGGCCATTTCACACCTAGGGTCTCAATCTCATAAGACCGAACCATCCCCCAGTGCGAGGTCACATGTGGATCCTTGTGGCATGAAATGGATCGAGGCTATCCCTCTTAAACATGTAATCGGCGGTACCGTTACTGCTTTCATTCAAGAGCACAGCATCTGTCATTTCAGAATTCCCCATTACCTCCTCACTGACAATGGTACTCCTTTTGTAAACCACAAAGTCCGACGATTGCTCGTACAATACAATGTCTAGCATAAACGTTCATCTCCCTACTACCCACAGGGTAATGGCTAGGCCGATGCTTCAAATAAAAATATCCTCTGAATCTTAAGTCGTACTCTTGAAGAAAGCCCCACCACATGGGTTGATCAGTTACCCCTCGCGCTTTGGGCCTATCATACTTCTACCAAGTGCTCCACCGGCTAGGCCCCATTTTCCCTTGTCTATTGAACCGAGATCCTTCTGCTAGTCGATATCGTTATCCCCGCTGCGCAGCTCGCCTCGCGAAATGGGACTCACCTGTCTCGAGATAGTGAGTTGGAGGTTCTCGACGAAAGGTGTGAAACAGTTTTACAGCATCTTCAGTAATATCAGTGCCACATTGCGCAGGTATATAACAGATATGTCCAGCCTCGACAATTCAGGCCCGGCGACCTCGTCCTTCAGGCAGCCATGCATAACATGCGCGGCCTTTCAGGTCCAAAGTTTCACCCAATTTGGAAGACCCTTACATTGTAAAGACAACTACGACATTGGTTATTGCACTCTTGTGGGCTCTGATCACAGCCCAATTAACAATGTCTGGCTCAAACCCTATTTTTGCTAAGTGTTTCTTTTGTAAAGTAATTAATTTGCAAAAAAATCCCTTTTTGACCCATACACGACCCTACCCCTTTCACAACAGTAATCAATCAAAACACACAAGGAGTCCGAAATCGCACAAGCTGTTTTCTCATTCATTTGTTTTGAAATTACATTCAGCAAATAACCGCCTGATACATACAACAAAACACACAGAACCTATTCTATGTACGAGGATAGCAGTGAGTAATCATCATCTAGCTCCTGCGAATGTGCCACTATCACTGCTAAGCTCTCTCGCTCCTGCGCGATCTCTTATTTCATTTGCTCAATGCGAATTCTTGCTTCCAGAAGGCGCGGTGCGAGTAGTCTCTACCTAAGGCATTTCTTAGCCATAAATAACCTTTTTCGCAACCACAAAATAGGAACCTCGAGCCTTTGCACATCTTCCAGCAGGAGTGTGACCTCCCTTATAAGATCTTCCTTTGTTGAGCCTTGTTCAATTTCCACAAATATTTCTAAAATCTTCCCAAAGCATAGATACATCGATTGTCGCACAAGAGCATGGCACGATGATAAGAACTACAATACCTTAAGATGATAGGGTAGGGCTATCTCTAATAAATTTACATAGGCGCGTGGGATTGGCATACCCATCCACTCGATAACTGAGCTAACCGTCTCTCACTCTGTACCAGTTTCCTCCTGCGTTCCTGGGCCTGCCTAACAACTTGTTCTTCCTTCAAGCCCCCCCTCCCCCTACAGAGGTGAGCCTGTTGAAGTTTGCTCAGTAATTAGGGGTGTGACCTGCCTCACTTGCTTCTCCCTTGTATCTACCATATCAACATTTGTTTCCAACTCTAGAGGGTCCTGTGCAACTTACAGCTCTGCTAGGGGCGCAGGTTCCCCCTTCCCTCTTATGCTACTTCCTCATTTTCCAGCACATCTTCCATCACTTGTGTTTTTGGGGGGGTGAGCTGCCTTCTCTCATTGAACGTTCTATCCCCCCCGAGGAAACTCGTTCCGTTACCTTTACAGGTGGCGAGGAACCTCGTACTTCAAAGGCGAGGCCTGGGTTACCTCTATGGTTTCATTATGACCCGGCATTTCTCTAGAAGACATCTCCACATCTTCGCCCCTAGGCGATTCAATAGTTTGCTTGCCCATGTGGTCTAACACTTCGATCTCTGGGGACTTAAAGAGGTATCTTTTGAATAGTAACAAGAGGCAAAACATCTAAATTTCATAGTAAATCGAAACATAATACATTGAATTCACCAATTATATAAATCATAAATATTTCAGATATGTCAGGAACATATATCATTATAATCCAGATAGGAATTTGCTATGCCAGGGCATATAAATCCCAACAGCTCCCACTTGCCCTCATAGCCAATTCAAATTGCACCTAACTCCAATGTTATCCAGATGATGATCAAAATTATTTATCAATGACACCTTTGATAATGGATCAACAAAGTTGTGTTCCAATGCAATGTTCTAACTACAAGTGCATTTTCTTGCCGGACAATATCATGTAGAACATGATACTTCCTCTAAGTATATCTTGTTCCTCTATGGAACCTTGGGTCATTGGTTTGGACTACTTCTGCACTATTGTCACAACATAGCTCAATAGGCAGGCTAGTATACTCCACAACCTCTAAATCAGTGAGATCAAACTAATAGGCTTCCTTTGCCGCCTTTAAGGCTGCAATATATTCCACCTACAGGTTTGAGTCAGCAGTTGAAATCTGCTTAACAATCTACCAACTGATCTCCCTTCCATTAAGTGAACATACACTAAGTCATGAACCTCATAGTATCTACTTCTGATTGAAAATCAGAACTAGCATACCTGACTAGGACCATATCATCGCATCCATAAATGAATATGATATCATTGGTTCTCCTTAGGTACTTAATGATATTTTTCACAATAAACCAGTTGTCCAGTCCAGTATTGGACTGATCTCTACTGACTATCCCTACTATGTAGCGGATGTCCTGTTTGGTATAGACCATGGCATATATGAGACTCTCATATGCCGAAACATATTGTTCCAGTCTCATTTGCTCAATCTCCTTTGATAGTCTTGAAAAACTACTTACTAGAGAGAGCCATCCATATCAATAAAGCAAGAACTCATTCTTTGAGTTATGCATACCAAACCTGGTCAAAACTTTATCAATGTAGGATTATTAAGATAAGCCTATTTTCCTTTTAACCTGATCTTGCAAAAGCTTGATCCTAGGAATCTAGCTTACATCCTGAAAATCCTTCATTTAAAAGTAATTGAACAACTACCTATTTATTGATGACAAAACTTCCACATCATTCTAAATGAGTAGGATGTCATCAATATATATAGAATTAGAAAAATAATGACATTCCCTTGTACACTCATGATTTATTCACTAAGAAATCTTCTGGTATCTTTTTGTAGATTAACTTGCCTTCCATAGGAATCACCCTACTAGAAAGTTCTACAAGATCCCAGAATTTATTAGAATACATAGATTCCAACTCTGATTTCATAGTAACTCACCAAAACGATCTGTATCCACATCGGTTCACGCTTCCGTGTAGCTTACTGGGTCCAACTCATGTTTAACAGGGATGTCCATAATGGTCTCACCTAAAAACATGATTCTGTCGAATTGGATGATAATCCTCCCACTACATCAATGTACCGATGCAAGAATCTGTGTAGTAGATGATGCTAACGCATCAATAGGGAATTCATATATTATTCTCAATCTCTATAATAAGTGTGTTCACATGTGGTACATCTGGTACTCATACCAAATTCTCTAACATTATGCTACTAGGTATGTGATTCATAATATGATTCTCCTATAGATAAACAGTGAGTGAAAACAATCAACTTTTATCTTTGAGATCATAAAATAATCCATCCTAGTGACATTTAGAGTAGCTATCAAATCTAGCATGCCTATGATCTGCTTCCAACTTACTTGTCCATATCAAGCGCACATGTGCAAGACTACCCCATATGTGCATATGATTCAAACTAATATTTAGTAAAAAAAACACAGCTCAACGATATCCTTGAGACAGACTAAGATGGAATGCAGTTCATAATACGCATCGATGTCATTAACGCTAAACTCTTAAATGAAAGAGATAATGTAGCATAGCTGATCATAGATCTAACCATGTTAAGTGGAATTCTGTTATTCCTATTTGACACCTAAATACATTTAGCGTCAATTGCGGAAAACTGGTACATAATACCCTCATTGACCATATAGTCTTTGCACTATCCCAAGAAATATTCATATCCTCGATCAGATCGAAGTGTCTTGATACGTTTACCTAATATGTGTTCCACATCAGTCTTAACCTTCTCTAGAAAATACCAAGAGTTTAAGACTTGTGTTGCATCAGATAAACTTATCCAAAACGTGAGTAATCTTGCTTGGATGTTCATAAGACCACACGTGTCAGTGTGTACCCTCCAATTGTCCTTTATGTCTATTTCATCTGGCTGATTAAGCCCTAAGAGTTATCTATCCTTCAAAACAGGGTTCACAAGTTTGGTTTAGGCTCCCCTGCCTCACTAGGTAATTAACCTTCTTTGACCAATCTTTGAATCTTATTTTGATTGATAACAACCCAAAAATAGACATTAAAAATACAATGAGTCAAGAATAACAATTTTTCTCTTAACATTCAATCTAGAAGATGCAACATTAGTTTCTACATCCTGCAAATCTTAAGAGTTTGTGATTATAGTATATTAACCATCTTTCAATGCACCAGAAGCAATCGCATATCTATTCAATTTTATAAAACCAGTTTTACAAAATAACAACACAGTTTTTATAAACCAAAAGTGAAATAAGAATGAGATTGCGTTTCACTTCTGTGCATAAAGATAGTTCTCTAATACTAATATCCTCATACTCTCTAATTTCAGATGTAATACTCCCACTGACTTAACTACAACATTGGCATCAGGTCAAAAGATAAATATATATCCATATCATCAAGGCTTCTAGATTCCTGAAATCCTTACAATAAATTACAAACATGTTTAGTGGCTCCAGAATCTATCCATCATGAATTAATAGACACAACCACATAACATGGCTCAATGATTAAATATATATTTTCCTATGCCACGTCATTGCTTAAACAGTTCGTCCTTTAGTGTTTTAGTTAGCGACAAAAGAAACAGTTTTCTTCGCCCTCAACATACACTGCCTTATTCCCTTTAACCTTTTTGAATACCCATGTTTTGTTCTAGTCTAGTCCTATTATCATCCTTCTTCTGTACTTTGCCCTTCCACTTGGGCCTAGAAGAAGATGGTATGGACTAGGTTAGATTGATAGGAACGCCCATACTCTTGATTATCCCTTCATCTGTTACCAATTCTATAAGAATATCAGCGAGTGTGAACTCAAACTGATTCCTTATTTAGTTCACTCTAAAAGAGTCGAACGAGTTTGGTAACAAGGCAATAATCATGTCAACTTGAAACTTACCACCCAAGTCAGCTCTATTGATCTCCAGCTAATTTTTAAATAATAAACAATCATTTTTCAAAATTCGATTTCATACTGGAGTTTCTTAGGCTATCTTGATGGTGTTCAAGTCTGACATAGTACGCAGGCATACGCCCTATCTAATCTCACCAAAACATCATATTGACATTTAACATGATGCTTAAAGAAAATAAAATAATGTAAATGTTAGCTTTGGAGTGTATTCGAGATAAACTCTAGAATATTGCACCAAGTCATCTCATTTGCCTTATTTCACTTATTCAAAGCATTAATGTTCTCTTGGGTATCTTAAAGTAAAAGGATTAGGTTTAGGAGTAGTAAATACGTTTGTACCCTTACGTTGTGAATAAAATATCTAAATTCCTTTCCCAGTCAATATTAATGAGGTCCAGTTACATTGAATATGTAAGCAAGTAGATAAACTGGATTAGACATAATTAAATTGAATATAAATGCATTCATACAATATGCAAGGTGAACTGTCATGCATATTTAAAATTAAAATGAGCTTGTTAACCACATAATACAATAAATCTCCATCGAACAAGAGATCATTATCATTATTGGTGAACAATCTCTTTTAATTAATGCGGGTCCCTCAACTCTGTAGCATAATAAATCAACCAATCAATATGTCAATAACTTATCCTGTTGGAGAAGTTCATTATTACTATTATTGAGATTCATTTGCTATTAGGCGAGCACTTCCATTAAAATAATAATATGTGGGTCCCTTAACCACTGCATGAAAAATCGAATAACCAATACGCCAATAATTTATTCGGTTGGCGAAGTTCATTATTACTATTGGCAGGCAAATCCCATCATTTCCATATCTCTTAAGACAATGCCTTGTCTATCTATATGAAATGATTTCCGATTATGTTTAGCCTTTTTAAAATCACCTAGTATAGACCACTCCGTTGGGGAGCTAACACTATTGATTTTAGATTGAGTGTATAACGTTATTAATGCTCTAATGAAAAATAAAATATTAAATATCTTGTCATTATAATCTAGACTCTTTAAATCATGCGTAGGGCCTTATTTTTAAAGATCTAATTACAATGAACATTTAATATTATTATTTTTATGAGATAACCATTCTTGTAATATTAAGACTCTTCAAATCATGCGTGAGGCCTTATTTTTGAAGATCTAATTACAATGGTATTAATAACGAAGGCCATGGGGCAATGTATAAAAATCCCCGCTCCCACTCAATTTTTTAATCATTCATAATTAGGGTTTTCATTTTATTCATTTACATGATATAATGCATGCAAAACGTCTTGATTTTAATCCAATTAAATTTAGAAAATATTTGGACTTTAAACGATTCACTAATATTTAATTTGAAGCACACTTAAAAAAAAATAATTTACAAAAAATAATTTTGCGTTTCCCAATAAGTGCCCTCAAATTAACTAGTAATCAGATCCAATTAATTTTCATAACTTAATTAATATAAATCAAGTCATTTAATTAAATATCATGGATCCAATGCATGAATAATAATAATAAACAATTAATTATTCCATACATCAGTTAAATAAATAAATAACAGACAGAAGTAATTTAAATGGCCAATGGATTCAGCTTTTAACATTTATCTGCTCTAAGTAATGCGCGAGGGTCTATCATTAGCCGCGTCACATGGGATTATTTCCCATCAATCCCTCTTGATCTCCGGCCAAAACCTTGCCGCCGACAACTCTCCGGTCGCCGGAAAATCGCCGAAAAATTCCAGAAATTAAATAAAAATTCCAGAAATTAAATTAGGCCTTAAAAAATTCCAGAAAATTCCTGAAGCCTAATTTAACCCTCTTGGACCTTCTTGAAGCTTCATAGCATCCTTGAACGAAGATTACATGGCTTTAAAAATATTTACAATTTGAAATACAATGGAAAAAATTAAATTACATCATTGAACTTTCAAACGGCTAAATCAAAGCCTTAATTACATTCATCCAAAGATAAAATTACATTAATTTAACCTATAAGCTTCATCCATGGCCCAACCATACATCATCATTCATTCACAATTATTCATACATCATCATGTATCAATATATATCAACATATTAAATCATACATCAACATACATCAATAAAAATATATATGAATATAATTTTGGATTCATGAATGATGATTTTCATAAAATCATGATCTCTAGTAATGAATCAAACCATACTCTGATACCACTGTTGGGAAACGTGCTAGTTTTAAAAACTTTTTGAGGGATTTAAATTTATAGATCTTGATTCATTACATAGAGACAAGTTTTATGCAAAAATAAAACATGATGTGTCATTCAATTAAAAGATTGAATACTTACATTAAGGTTTGAGTAAACCTTAGATCTCTCCTCTAAAGTGAATGTTCTCACTTATTGTAGATCCCTTAGCAAGATGCATTCTTCTTGGATCTCCTTCTTCTTGATAATTGTTTTGCCTTTAGGAATCACTCATATGCCTCCATGAATGACCTTGGAAAACTAGGCTTGTGGGAACCTCCATTAGATGAGAACATAAACCCTAATTTTCTAGAGAGAGAAAATAAATTCTTTTTCCCTTCTCATTAAAAATCACCCCCTAAAATATACATAAACCATGTATATTTATAGGCAACATAAAAATAAAGAAAAGGAAACAACAAATCCTTCTCCATCTCTAATTCATATGTCTCAAATCTAATATGATTCCAATATCAAGTTGGGCTATGAGTGAGAATCCATTGGGCCTATTATTTTATTGGCTACAATGAATTAATAATTGGTCCGGTCCATGGACCCAATTCAATTAATTCATAAATTAATTTCTACTCCACTAAAAGAAATTAATTGAACTCCAATGAAATAATAAATAACCTCTAAGTCAATATTGCACTTTGACCCCTCTATGCATAATTAGTTATCGGATAAATAAAGCCATCAATCCGACTACTTAATTAATATATATATTTTGGTACCTCTGATTATTTCTGGCTCGATCACAATAAAACATTTGTTTGACAAAAATAATAATTTAAATAAATAAATATATAATAAATCATTTTGTCTAAAAACACACGAAGGCCTTCGAATTTACTTTGTGATCAACCATAATCAATACAAAATAAATACAAGTAGCAATGATGCAAATATTGAAAATATAACCCTCTAACTATTAATTACATAACTACCCAAAGTGTCGGTCTAAGGATCCCGAAGAATCCGCCGAACAAATCAAAGTAATTATTAATTAATAAAAGAGTCTATACTTTTCTCATATTTAAGAGTCAAATGCCATGACGGTGATAGGGAGTAATTGCATACGACGGCTCTCGCAATATATCTCAACCTAACGCGGATCCAGTTCAAGTCTTAATTAATTATGAGTCCATCCATAATTACCGACTATGAACAATTTATAATTACTATTTATATATCATGCATTGATTGCCATCACATACATATATATAAATATTTCTTGTAATTACATGGACACTATCAATTTCATAATAAATCGAAACATAATACATTGAATTCACCAATTATATAAATCATAAATATTTCAGATATGTCAGGAACATATATCATTATAATCCAGATAGGAATTTGCTATGCCAGGGCATATAAATCCCAACACCTGCGCTCAGTGTTCTCTATTCCTGCTTGGTGTTCTCTATTCCCGCCGTTCGCTCATTCATTTGAAATCTTCTCTTTCTTTGGGGTGTGCACTATTCCATGTGTTTGGTCCTATTCTTTTGTTCTAAGCGCTTCCTCATGTCTTTCTTCTTTCCACTTCCTCTGTTGAACCTGGGTAGGCATCTTCTTTTGAATCTGCATCTCTGTCGCTATATCAAAAATAAATCTATTTATATATATATATATATAGGTATGTTCAAAAATTAATCTGTTTATATATATAAAAAAAATATAGGTATGTTGGGAGAAATTTGCAAATTACTTTGAGGTGGAACTGAAGGAAGTGAAGCTGAGGGAAGGTTACTATGTGATGGACCCTGTAAAAGCTGTGGAATTGGTGGATGAAAACACCATCTGTGTTGCTGCTATCTTGGGTTCAACCCTCAACGGAGAATTTGAAGATGTCAAGCTTTTGAATGATCTTTTGGTAGAAAAGAACAAGCAAACTGGGTAATTCGTTAATTAAGCTATATATGTACATTATGTATATATATATATATATATATATATATATATATTTGCATAGAATTGTCTAATCCATGTTTGCGACTTAATTTGACATTGACAGATGGGATACACCAATCCATGTTGATGCAGCCAGTGGTGGATTCATTGCTCCATTTATTTATCCAGAGCTTGAATGGGATTTCCGTCTTCCACTAGTGAAGAGTATTAATGTGAGCGGTCACAAGTATGGGCTTGTATATGCTGGTATTGGTTGGGTTATTTGGAGGACCAAAGAGGACTTGCCAGAAGAACTTATCTTCAAGATTAACTACCTCGGAGCTGAACAACCCACCTTCACCCTCAATTTCTCTAAAGGTTCTAGTCAAGTTATTGCTCAATATTACCAATTAATCCGCTTGGGTTTTGAGGTGAGATCCTAATTAATGATATATGGATGTGTATTGCTTACTCATGATTCATGAACTCAAGACAAAAATTAATGACTTGTTTTTTTATTTAATGATTAGGGTTACCAAAATGTGATGGAGAACTGTCGTGATAATGCAATAGTCCTAAAAAAAGGATTGGAGGAGACCGGGCGCTTCAACATTGTTTCAAAGGACATGGGGGTTCCTTTGGTGGCTTTCTCTCTCAAGGACAACAGCCGTCACGATGAGTTTGAGGTTTCACACATGCTGCGTAGGTTCGGTTGGATAGTGCCGGCCTACACCATGCCTGCGGATGCACAACATATCACAGTCCTCCGTGTTGTGGTAAGGGAAGACTTCTCGCACACCCTGGCAGAGCGCCTTGTCATTGACATCACTAAGGTCCTCCATGAGCTAGATTCCATGCCTGCAAGACTAATAACTTGTGCCAAGGTTTCTGTCCCCGACACTACTACTGCTACTCCTCAATTGAAAGTGAAAAGTAATGGCATCCTCAAGAAGAAGAAGATTGTGGTGGATAGGAAAACCAAGGTTATTTGCTAGAAGATACAAAAACAAATACTCATAAATGTTGTTGTTATGACACTATTGGACATGTGATAACACTTTTTTAATTATTTTTATTGTGGAAGAATTTAAGCATACTGTTATTTCTACTTTTTTTTTTTTTTTTTTCAATAAATAAAAGAGAATCTATTCATCTAATTGATGAAAGGAACATTCTTCTTCTTGATCATGAGAACATTTTTTTTGGGGTTGAAATTAAGTCCATTCGTGTTGCAGGGAATCATGGGCTGAGTCTTGACTTTTGTTTTTCGATTCACACAATTGAAAATCGATCAGAATTGCCTGTCAAATTAAGCTCTTTCGTGTCTTGTTTGTTCCTCCTACTTGATCTCCCACCAACATTACCCGAAAAGGGGTTGAGAGACTGTCTCTTCTGTAAACTCCCCAGCCCAGCCGGTGCCAATAAAGACCTTGGCCGTGGTCAAAAAGCAAAGCCGTGCTGACGAACAGGGCATCTCGGACTGAGTAGTCCCGTCCGGTAGCGACAACCGTCTTTTTGATTGGTACCGCAGTGGCCCTTTGGTTGGGTATTGGCGAAACATTACCTAACTTTAGGTCTTTTTTAAATTGATTCAATTGTGAAATAAAATATCACGAAAGATTTCAACAACCCGATCTCTAAGCTAGGGTAGATAAGAGACCTTCCCTATCTGTTGAAGAAAGCCGCTCGGTAAATATCATTAGATAGGAGGGCACTCGGGAGCTAGCACAACCTTAGAGAATAGGGGAGGAACGAGGGTACTTGATGAGATAGACCAGAGATAAGAAAAGAGAGAGCGAAGACAGCTTAGACCGGAGCGTCTTGAAGCAGCTTGACACTTTCTATTGAGTCTTAAACAAGGTCTCTAGATCTCTGACTTCTTGGCTACATTTTAACAACAAAGCGGAACTAAAAAAGAGAGACTCCTGGAATTAGACACCGATTGTAAAGGGGGGTAGAACCAGATAAAAGAATGGATTAAGGTGAGAGAGTGTAAGCTGAAGGGGAGAAAAGCAAAAAGTATTTCCTTCAATATGAAGAAAATATATATATATGAAGAACAACAATCAAAGAAGAAGAAGAAGAAAACGTATTATGTAAACTAGAATCCATACCTCATGATATAATTGTTTCTTTGACAAATTTTACAACTGTTTTGTTCACATAACGGTTCTTTAACAGAGACAAGAGTTTACTTTTGAAAACATGCACTAATACTTTTTGAAACCCAGAAATTGGACATTAGTTGATATCTAGAGCAATATTTTATTTTAATTTTTTTTTTTATTGTTCTTCCTTGTGTTCCGGATGACTTTTACTATGTTGGACTCTAATAATTTGTTCATTTGGAGGATTTTTACTTACTGAATAATTAGTAATAATGTATGACAATATGTGAAACTATAGTATTTTTTAGAAAGATATTTGAGATTTAATGTTTCAAGTTTTGTCAATAATGGGATTGACAACCACGGTCCATGAATGCTAAGTCTTTTTATTATAACTATTATTAATTAATACTTTTAATTCAATTATAAATAAATAAAAGTTCAAATTGGGTTTTACTCATTGTTTGGTGAAGAGGCATACAATATAATTACTAAAAAAAATAGAAAAGAAGTACACATTTTTTTCCAACAATTCTTTTCTTAGTGAAAAAAATCTTGAACTTAAGATTACTAATGAAGGTATGTTTTAGATCTAGTTAAGACAAAGTACACAATTGATCAACATATTGAAGGTATACAAATTTATTTTTATTTTGTTTGCAGGTTCTCTTTGGGATGGATACCGGCACAACAACGTTGATACATTGGGCCGGAGAAGTAGATGATTGTTTTGTTGTAATCTACCTCTCGGGTTGTTGGTGTTCTAGATTCTGTTGTTCCCAACAGTTCTGGTTTGCTTCGGGTGACTCTTACTATGTTAGCCTTTTGATATGTTGCAGTTATTGACTCTTGTAGTGTGGAAGCCTTTGGTGTTTGCGTTCGGGTGACGTTCTGCTTTTCATTTGTTTGCTCAAGGGAATGCCCTTGTTTTCCATGTACTATATTGTTTACATTTATAAAAAAAAATTCCACTATACCAAGGGGATGAATATTTTCTTTTTGATTTTTTGGGGGTCTAGATACATGAGTTAAAAAATTGTTGTTAGATCAACTTACATCTTATGCTAATATAATGTACGTCTGGATGGTGTTTAAATGATACAAATTTTTTGTTTACTTAAGGTGTTCATATATCATATGTTTTTTGAATGCCTAAGTACCACTTATTGATGAAAGTATTCTAGAAAGTGATGATATTGGTGGAACTAAACTCATATTCATACATTCCATGCATGTGTCTGCCATTTGTTGACGTTGCTTCTTTCTTTTTCTTTTTCAGAACGTTTATAGTGACTGTATGTGGTGGTATTGTCTAGTTTGTATTGCTAGGCCGGGTAATTGTATTTGTGTTATCTTTTATTATTTTTTGATCATTTTTAGGTCGTAGATTTAGGTTCAATGACATCTTACTTGGGAAAAAAAATTATGAATAATACAATAGTTCTATCGAAGACTAGTTTGCATTACATACTAGAAGTGGTATGTGCTATAGACCAATGTCTAAGCTCTTTTAGTTCAAATATATATATCCAATTAATCTTTCCATTCACCATAACGTTTTGTCACATAAAATAAATTTAAGTACCATTTATAGCTTTAAAACAAGAACACGGGGAAAAAAAAATTGAAGCGTGTCCAGCTACTCAATTTGGAGTATGGTTCTTGATCTGATTCCCTCAACAATGTGATATGCCAAATTCATGCTCCTACAGGCCAACAATTAGTGTAGAGTTCATAATTCCTCCAATTTGATGACTACTCCTTGCTGATTAGTCTCCATTAACATCATCCTTCCACCTTGCAAGATTACTAATCCAAAAGATACCACCATTGAAACCAAGTACCCAGCAACAACTCCGTAACTAATACAAATATGCCATTCCTCCAAACAATATTTAATAGATTCAAGTATCAGAAAAAATAAATAAATAAATAAATAAATAATCCAAACAAACAATTAAACCACGTAATGAAATGGCCAAGACACACAGATTCTTCTGATGACCTATATATGATGTCAAAACACAACATTAATGATGTCCGATAATGCATAATTAGCTTATAATCTAAACAGAGTAACACAGGTGATACACATAACCAGTGGCTCCTTTTCAGGTCTAGCGAGTTTTCAGTACAAGGAACACTACAAATTGACAACAATTAGAGTGAGGTCCTTTAGTGTGCCACAACCATAAGATTTTGAAGATTCGAAGGTAATTACAATTGTGCTTCATACCTGGGTGAAAAGCTTGTTATGGCCCTTAATTATTAAACTGCAACTTAACTAAAACGTATCAAAGAAATTGGAAAATAAGAATATGATCTCAAAAGTTAAAAATCAGGAAGTGAGCAAAACTCTGAATTTATACTAGTAACAACCTACTCCTTACAGAAAAATGATTTGACTAATAAAAATATGATCTCAAGAGTTAAAAAATTGCACAAAAACAAAGAATATGAAGTCAAGAAAAGAAGTCACTTTGACTCCATGTCCATTTTTAAAAAAAAAAAAAAAAAAAAAAAAAAAAAACTCATTGGCCAACAAATATTGTTAAATGTCATATTAGAGGTTCTGTGATATTAAATGAGAAGGATTTCATAAGTGTTTTGTGTTGTTGGGTTATATATATGGATGTATATATGTATATTCATGTTGGTTAGTAAAAGAGGTTAATTAAGAGGGGGGCATGTATGAAATTGGTTGGTTTGAGAAGGGTAGTTTGGTACAAGGATAAGACTTGATTTGGGCCACATATTTTATTTTGGATTTTATATCCACCAACCACCACCACCTACATCATTTCCTTCTCTCTCTCCCATTCGGCATTCTCTTTCTCTTCTCCACCACTTTATTTTCTTTTCCTTACTTCCTTCTCTTTATGATTCCTCTATGTCAGAGGGGGAATTTTGAAGAGCCATAGTTAGGGAAAGTGTAGATCGTGGTGAGAACAATGTTTTAACACCGGTCTTGCTAGCATTTGAAGGGATTTCGAGTTTGAGTTCTTGGCTATGGAAATGCTTTCTTGATGTAGAGAGGTCTAACTCATTATGTTTTGCCTTCTTTTGAGTTTAATATTTGATTTCTTAAAAAGCATGATCTATGTGTTTATGTGCTAAAATTACGTGCAAAGGTGATGTTGGTTGTGTATTTAAAGGCAAATTGTTGAGAAGCATGCTATATGTGTATAAGTGTTTTCTTGAGAACATGTTTATGATGATGTTGATGATGATAATTGTGATGAGCATGATAGCTTAAATTAATGGAATTGCAAAGTATGGAAATTATTAGTATTGAAAATGCATAATTCCATTCGTGGCATGGACATGGTTGGGGAATTGGGGTGGAACGGTCACACGATTTGTGTTGGAAAGTTTTATGGAAAGAAAGAATATTTTAAATGTTTTGAAAGGAAAAAGGTTTTGGAAAAAAAAATGGTTTGGTGAAAGGAACCGGGTTTCGCGAGCCCGGGGTTAATTCGACCTAAAATGAGCGCGTGCCGGATTTGGACGTGTAACGTTGATTGCTAGGCCTCAAATAGTTGCCGGATTTGGAACCAAGGATGGCTAATCAATCTTGCCTCGGTAAAGTCTGTTAGTGATTTTTGGTGTGAGTTTGGACGGGTTGGGATCGTGTCAGGATGGTGTTACATTCACGTCATTATTGCATTCATATGCATAGTTTAGTCCTGTGAAGAATGTGTTGTGAATGAATTATATTGATTGCTGTTTTGACATCCCAATTAATGATCCCGACTTCTTTCTTTCCCATTTCTTGCTTGTCGACTCAAGGAAGTCCAAAGCCAGTGCTTTAGGCCCTTTCTACTAAGCTGTTGAGCTCACCCCTTATCTTTAACATTTTCAGGAAAGCCAGAGAAGATTTGGTGTAAGGCTTGCAATTACGAACTTAGACGACGCTAGGAATTTTATTATATTGTATTATAACATTGTATTTATGGCTATGGCAACCTCATTTATGTACTTAATTCCTTGAAATTGTGTAAAGATGATTCATATATTTTGTGTAACGACCTAAACCCGAGGGTCTTAATCGCTAACTGGGTCCTTACCCGAACCCGAGGTCAACTAAAGACGTTACCATCCTTTCCTATGTCAATACATAATAATAATAATAATAATAATAATGGGATCGTAGCTATAAAATATGTCAAAATAGTCTACTAACCCGTCAAAACCTGTGGAAGAGCATCGTCTGCCACTTTCCTTCCGTATCTTGAAAAATGTTAATAATAAAATGGGGTGAGCCAACCACTCAGTATGAAGTATCTAAGACACACCTGTTATAACCCCGTGAATCCATACAAGGAATAGAATACAAGTAAATAGGATCATGCCTCGAGAAAAGCAAGTAAAGCAACGGTAATATCAACAAATACATATGTAAGTCGTCTAACCACCAAATATACAATGTAAACCAATACAATGCGATGCAATGCAATGTCATTCCCCATTTCCGAAACAATACCATTTGAACTTCCAAACCGTTAGTACGATCTGACCCAAGGCACCTCCAAGGCGTCACAAGAGAGGGGTTGGCTAGTTTTTCCCCGACCACATGGCACCTCCATGGCGTCGTCTGGGTAGCTCAACCATACTAAAGTCTCTCTCTAACTCCCTCTAGATCACACTAACACCACGGACCACTAGACGCCTCCTAGGCGTCTGGGTTTTCACAAACACTTTCGAAACTTTTTCCCAAAAACAATTTCATTTGTTTTTCAAACATTTTTTTTTCCTTTTCTTTCCCAATGAATGCATGAGTTATGGAAATCTTTCAATGCCATGACAACACAGAAATTTCCCACATATCATCCACATCATTCAAGCATGTTTAAAATATGAATTTCCACATAAGATCACATTCTCATATTTCCTAAATCATGGCATTTTACATACTTTCAATTAGCAAGTCCAACAACTTAATTACGCAAGGCATAAAATAAAATCATCTAAGCATGTATCATCTTATCAAAGAAGCTATCACATAATCATACACTTTTTACACCATGTAAAAATCATGTATATAATATGTAAATGTAACGCCCCAGAAATAAAATGCTCTGATACCATTTTGTAACAACCCCGAATTTCTCTAATAAAATCCTCAATTTATTCAACTCAAAATACATCAAAATACAACCAAGATCATAAAAAAAATGCCCTCTTTTTATACAAAATCAATTTCCTCAAATATTTAAAAAATTCTCCAAATAATAAAATAAATCCTCCACGCCGACTCTTCATCCTAAGCCCGAATCTAGCAATCTCCGTTCATCTTTGATACCTGAAACTGGAGGGTGGTCAGACAAAAAGTCCCAGTAGGAAAAACCATAACAAGAATTTTATAGAGGTTTAATAAAACAGCTTCACAAAACATACATAATCATGTGAGTATATAGACAAAATAAATATGCATTTAATTAAAATATTTAATCAAAGCATTTGATAAAATCATTTGACGCAAAACTACCCCATGCCATTCAAGGTATAGAGAACCCTACACTGAAAAAGAATTCCTTACTGGATCATCAACACCTCAAGCTTCCACTGTGCCCTCTGCAACTCTCGACTCACTCAATATCTCTAATTTTCTCAAACTCTCTCTGCTCTTTTTCTTTATCGCTCTTCTGTTCTTTGCATAATTATCAAATGCACAAATACCCAATATATAGGCAATCTGTAATGACCCGGTCATTTCCTTCCTTTTCTTTCTCTCAGATTTTCACGGATATTTTTTTTCCGTTAATCTTTTCCTTTTTGAGTTCGGTTTCTTGTCTCATAGTGTCGTCTTGAGTGCTCGGGAATGATTTCCGAGACTCTTTTCCATGAATTGACAACTTCCTTTGAGGACCGCGTCAATTCCACATTTTTATTTTTCGACACTATTCCCTATTTCGTCATTTTCCTATTTTGTTTTTTCCCCATTTGTCACTTTGTTGGCATAGGCTCACCTTTTGTGTTCGGAGTTGATTTCCAACTTCATGTATCTTCATTCTTGGTGGTTTCCACAAAATGCGTATCTTTACTTTTGCAGTAAAGTACTCTGGTTGCTCCCGGTGTCCATAGGGGCATGGATGCACAGTTCTTCAAAAACATTTCCATTTCTTGGGGTGTTTTTCATAAATACCTTTTAAAGATATTTTATTTCAGGGATATCTAAGAAAATATCTTTTGATATTTTCATTCTAGGGCAGTTTCGCAGTTTTTACTTTTTGTAGGGACCATTATGCAATTAATGAAAGTTATTGCTAAATGCCTCGTTTTGAGTCTAGATCCTCGTACGAAATTCATTTTCACTTTTTGTGGAGTCGTGTACTCTTAGAGTATCCTTTTGGTTGTTTTTCTCCAATTTTGAGGTTTCTGGCCCCGGTTGCTGCCAAACTTATTTAGGGCATAACTTTCTGCTCGGGACTCAGTTTTTGACGCTGTTTCTTCTGTTATTCATATTTTCTCATTTTGAATCTTTTTTGTTCACGGAGTTTTGCCATTTGAGCGCGTCTGCTCAAATTCCACTTTTCCGAACCCCGGCAGGGCCCGTTCGGGACACTTTTTGAGATTTTCTATAAATAGGAAGTGAAATAAGAAAAATCAGATTTTTCTCTATCTCTCTCCTCTCTCTGGGCCGGATCTCATGGTAGAAATGGCTGCCACCTCCTCTCTCCTCTTTTGAAGCTACTCGATGCATGCTCATTTCCTACGAGTAGCTTTATGTTGCTCACCCCAAAGTTACTGGGGCATATTTTAGGTACAGGGATCAAAGTTGGGATTCTCATTTGGATTGAAGATTTATGGACTTGAAGTTTTCCATTCTTATGTAAGTTGGCTTGAAATGCCAATTTTAGCTTTATATGTCAAAATATATATATTTGATCCTAATTATGTAAAGTGTACGTAGATACACTATTTGGGACCTATTTGATGTGTATAACATGAGGCCAAGGGCCACAAACCTTTTAGTTCAAGTGTATGTATTTAAACTTCAAGTTTTGCCTTTGAAATGTAACTTTTCAAACTTTGGTTGGTTGGCATGTCAAATTTTGTAAATGGAATGTAATGAGGCCATGGGCTATTGTAACACATTTCTATATATAAAGTACACTTGCGAGCATGCTTATATAGCTTAAAATCATGTTTTTGGTCCATATTCATGTTGGGGTTTGAGGCTTGGGTAAAGCCTCAACAAATTTTGTTCATAGCAGGCCTTACAGCAGCTTTTCGATATGTTTCGGTGGTCTGAAACTTCATTTCGATCGACCGATGGCCTTTGAAATTCATTTGAGCATCAAACACATCACTTTCCAGTAGCCAAAAGTACTGTTCAGTGCCATTTCGGTGGACCGATGGCTTATTTCGGTCGACTGATGGTTCATTTCAGTTTACCGAACCAACCAACCTTTAAAAACTTGTTCTCAGCAAAGATTTTGTCCATTTCGGTCGTCCGATGGTTCATTTCGGTCGACCAAAATAGACCCCATTCACACAGCTTCCAGTTTATGTTTCAGCACTGAATTTCCAACTTCAAATGGCCATATCTCCTTCATTTCTAACCCAAATAGGGTTATTCTTGAGCCTAAATTCATGGATTTTGAGTCAGCTTTCCAATGGTACCAATTCCATTCTCAGATTCAAATCACAATGGGATTTATTCATGTTTTAGTGAGATAGTGTCAGTTTTCGTTTAAACCGGGAAAGGGCATTTTGTGGGATTCTTGTCCAATGTTCTTAAAACATCATTTCCTTCTCTCTCTCCCATTCGGTATTTTCTCTCTCTTCTCCTCCACTTTCTTTTCTTTTCTTCACTTCATTCTCTTTATGATTCCTCCATGTTAGAGGATGAATTTTGAAGAGCCACAGTTAGGGAAAGTGTAAATTGTGGCGAGGACAACGCTTTGACACTGGTCTTGCTAGCATTTGAGGGGATTTCGAGTTCGAGTTCTTGGCTATGGAATTGCTTTCTTGAGGTAGAGAGGTCTAACTCATTATGCTTTGCCTTCTTTTGAGTTTAATCTTTGATTTCTTGAAAAGCATGATCTATGTGCTTATGTGCTAAAATTATGTGCAAAGGTGATGTTGGTTGTGTACTTGAAGGCAAATTGTTGAGAAGCATGCTATATGTGTATAAGTGTTTTCTTGAGAACATGTTTATGATGATGTTGATGATGATAATTATAATGAGCATGATAGCTTTAAATTAATAGAATTGCTAAGCATGGATATTATTAGTATTGAAAATGAATAATTCCATTCATGGCATGAACATGGTTGGGGAATTGGGGTGGAACGGTCACATGATTTGTGTTGGAAATTTTTATGGAAAAAAAGAATGTTTTAAATGTTTTGAAAGGAAAAAGGTTTTGGAAAAAAAATGGTTTTATGAAAGGAACCGAGTTTTGCGAGTCCGGGCCTAATTCGATCTAAAGGGAGTGCGTGCCGGATTTGGACGTGTACGTTAATTGTTAGGCCCCAAATAGTTACCGGATTTGGAACTAGGGATGGCTAATCAATCTCTCCTCGGTAAAGTCGGTTAGTGGTTTTCAGTGTGAGTTTAGACGAGTTGGGACCGTGTCGGGATGGTGTTGCATTCACGTCATTATTGCATTCATATGCGTGGTTTAGTCTTGTGAAGAATGTGTTGTGAATGAATTATATTGATTGCAGTTTTGACATCCCAATTAATGATCCCGACTTTTTTCTTTCCCATTTCTTGCTTGTCGACTCAAGGGAGTCCAAAGTCGGTGCTTGAGTCCCTTTCTACTGAGCTGTTGAACTCACCCCTTATTTTTAACATTTTCACGAAAGCCAGGGAAGATTTGGCATAAGGCTTGCAATTACAGACTTAGACGACGCTAGGATTTTTACTGTATTGTATTGTAACATTGTATTTACGGCCATGGCAGCCTTGTTTATGTACTTAATTCCTTGAAATTGTATAAAGACGATTCATGTATTTTGATTCATGATAGATGTATAAAATATATTATTTTGACGGTTCTATTAAATGTTTAGGGGTTAATGATGCCCATTGAGTTTTAATTACATGTTTAGATGTTTTAGGATTGCACTGGAATGGGTTTGGGAAGTAAGAATTTTGTTATTTTCATCATTGGGCATCATCTAACCAGTTAGATAAGGGTATCTACCCAGTTAGATGAATGGATAGTGTGTTGGTTTGATGGGTTTTTCTCATCTAACCGGTTAGATAGGTTTTTGTGTGTTCAACTATCCGGGTAAGAGATTCCTTGTACTCGATTAGATGTATGGGGCAAAGAAGAGATTGGATGATTTTCATTATCTAACCGGTTAGATTAAGTTTCCTAATCGGTTAGATATGATCTTTTTTTTTTTTTTTTTTTTAACGATTTTTTCACTGGCCATTCATGTACTCGGTTAGAAGAAATCTTCTAACCGGTTAGATATGATCTCAAATCTTGTAAGCATATTGGACCATTCATCTACCCGGTTAGGAGAAATCTTCTAACCGGTTAGATGAACTAATGTTTGCACAATGACTTCATAATTCAACAAAATTACCCAAAGACCCCTAGGCCCCAACCAAAGTACAAAATGACCATAGAAAATGACAGAATTACCCTCGAAGGGTATGAATGTTTAATTTGACCAGAAAATGACTATTTTGCCCCTGAGGGTTTTCATATCACTATTTGGCCATGGTAAAAGTCTATTTTACCCTTTTTGGGTTTATTATTATTATTATTTGATAAAGTAAAATGACCTTTATACCTCTAATGAGTTGTGAAGCTATAATAAATGTACCAAATGACCGGTTTACCCTTGTTAGACCTTAAACCATTATTTGACCATAGGTAATGACCATTTTACCCCTATGGACTCTAAAATTATTGTAATGACATGAAATGACCATAGTACCCTTGTGTAATCTCAGGTTCGGGTAAGGACCCAGTTAGGGATCCAAACCCCCGGGTTTGGGTCGTTACAGATGTTACATATCAAAGCAACAAAACATTAAGTCCATATACAGTCTAAGACCACACACATACAATTTCGAAATTCTAAAAAGTACATATTATTATAGCAACAAGCTTCAACAACAAAAACCATTAAATTAACAATTCATATATTATAATTTACTAAAAATATGAGAAATTGAAGATGCCGTGATCTGAATTCAGGATTTATATTCCTCTACTATATTTTTTAATAGTTTGAATCATATAGTTTTCTTTACTAGGCAATTTAATAGAACACCAGTATTAAACTGAGCCTAATAAAAATATCTTCTTTGATTGACTCAATTACAACAGCCACATGCTCTAATCGCTCTACTATGTCCAATCAAGACTCCATCACATCCTGCATAAACCTCTAACGGGAAGGGGTTACGGCAGACCTGCTATACTACCTGCAACAGATACCCGATGCTATACTAGCCGGTCAGGAATTAAATTTCGTAATAGGGGGAGCAGCTCCCCTTCAGATTCTGTAAAGTTTTTCTACACAAGCGGGTTGTCAAGAACCAAAGGCAGAATGTGAAAAGCCATTTTAAGCCTATGAGTTGCATCATTAGAATCCATACGGTAAGGAAGAAAAAATCCCCATCCCTAATTTTTTTCTTTACTTTTCTTCCCTCCATTTCTCAGAAACCAAACAAACCAATACATCCATAACAAATCCTTCACACAACGTGATGGAAAAAGATCACACGCACACATACAAACACATATATTGATTTATTCTGTTTTCCAGAAGATTTAGAATATTAGAGGTGAGAGGAAGATAATGAACAACAGTGTACCTTAGAGGTTAGGAATGGATTGACGGTGACCCGGCGACGATGGATTGACGGTGACCCGGTGACGAATCGATGGAAGTTGAGAATGATGCCAGGGTCTCGGAGGGAAGAGAACTCCAAAATTATGCGATAAACTTAGGAATGGAGTGGGAAAGAATTAATGAATAGAAAAATGGAAAGAGAACGATGAGAAAAAGAAAGGGGGTTTATGAGTCTAGCGAACCAGGTTAGGGCACCAATTTTGTGATAAAATTAGGGATGGGTAGAGGACAATGGGGAAGAGGAAGGGAGAATAGTAGTCTGGCCACTTGAGCTTTTCACGTAGGTCAATTGTAAGTAACGTCATAAATTGTCGTCAAAAATATCATTTTTCATTCAAAAATAGAGGTGATTTTCAATTATTTAAAGAGAAATTTGATACATAGATATAAGTATTATTATTGGCTACAAGAATTAATGCCAATACCTTAATAGTCACTACTCATAGAACCAATGGCCAGGATACTATCACTAGCCTGAAAAAAAAAAAATTAAATTAAATTAAATTAATTCATACTTTCCCCGAACAAAACATTCTAAATAAAACACATTGTCGATTTCATTGTCAATCCCAGTCCTACTGTCCAGTTGGTTCGGTACATCACATCCTAGCAGCAGTTGTTGTGAAAGACATGCTTGGCGATCCTCACCCAAATCAAGCTTTTATACTCCATAGGGCCTTCTCCTTGACAAAGGCTAGGCTGTCTCTCAAAAGCGAAGCTTGACTCTTTCCCTAATGGACTTCCTGGCCGGTGAGGGTACCGGAGTCTCATCTCACATCATGTTTCCAAAGGTTCAAGTTCTCCGCCAACGAGTCAAAGTGGTGCCTTTGGCTAGCAGTGCAAGAGCTCCTTCTCACACCTACCTTAATCAACCTGTGTTTGTATTGTATGACTTCAGAATGCTGAAAACCATACCACTTGTTCAATGGGCGGAAAAATTTCAGGGTCTTTTTGCAACTCTGCCAACCCCACCACCAGGTCACCTTCAATCTCATTGTGGAATCCATCACATGTGGATTCTTCCTTCCGATCCAATCACGCAGCTTTCGCTTGTCCCTGTCTCCATTTTGTTGATAATATGACAGTTTCAAAATTCAGGTAAGGTAGATAATTAATGGTTCTGGGCTCCCATATGGACTTGGTTCTTTTGGACTAGTTTTTATTAATTACCCTTTGGGCTTGAGGCACATGGGAAATGTCCCATGTCCAGTGTTTTTTACTTCCTAAATTCCCATGTCCAGTTTTTCTCTTCCTTTATAAATTATTTGATTTACCCAAAAATAAACAAATCACGAGGGAGTATTGTTGCCAGCATTCATACATTTACATTGCGAGATTATGTCTTTGAATTTTGTGCAGGACTATAAAAATTTTCGGCCCTTGATATACTTAATTTTAGTTAGAGTAAATTACACTAGTCTTTCCTAAGGGTTCGTCATGACCTCTCCTATCAAACTCGTCGGGTGTGAATTTATATTTATGTCCTTAAAAATCTATGTTGTATTTTATTGCAATAAAAGTGTCTTCTTTCAAAAGTATAATTGAAATTTGAAAGTTATAAAATTGTTTACATCAATATATATATATATTTTGGCTAATGAAATAAGATATGTGTAATTTAAAAAAAAAAAAAAAAAAAAAGATATTAGTAAATATTAACGAAACCACTTAACACAACGAAATTTACCCTTTTAGTTACCAACTTACCACATATGCTAACTACACTTGAGTACTAGACCTACAAAATCAAAACTGCAGGATGACTCTGATCTGGCATTGTATTCAAGCGTAATCAAAATTTACCAGTTCCCAAGGTATACACAACCAAGCATTTGATTAAAATCAATCAATATTCTACACAAAATACCATGTGGTGACTACTTGTGGGCAATTTTCCTTGACAAACTTGCCCCCATAGTTTGATCAAGAAAATAACTCAAACTAACAAAATTCAATGTCTTGACACACATTAATCAAAGTTTGAATGATGCACTCAAATCCCATAAATGGTGGTCCCACATGGACCATCAATCCTTCCAATGGGCCCACTCCACCCATTGGTCCCAGGCCAGCACACCAACTGTGTCTCCACGCCAGCTAAATGAGGCCTCCAATAGATCGAGATAAGTGATATGACCCCACAATGGTGGGATTGTGAAGAAAAAAGTGGCTTCCACAACCAAACCAAAAAGACATTCGGTTGGTATGCATATCAGAAGGAAAATGAAAAAGTAAAAGCTGAAATTTGAATTGTCTCCTAAGCATGTTGGACAGAGTCCTTCGTATAATAGCCTTGTACAGAAGAACATGATAGCATAAACACTGCAATTATTTAGTCTTTTTTTCGAAAGGTAATTATTTAGTCCCCCGCATACCCACCAACATATATAAAAACCAAAGTGACCCATTTTCAGAATCCCAAGAAACAAACACTTTTTTTTTTCTCTCTCTCCCCATCTTTGCTAGCCGTTGACTGACTGACTCTTTTTTTCATCTAAAATCATCTTATTCTCTCACTTTCTCTTTTTTCTTTTGGAAACTCCTTAAATACAACAATTTGCTGCCATTCATGACCAACCAATTCAAAGAAATGGGTGATCTTCACTCCATTGCTTACAGTAGCAGCCTCCACAACTCATCCCTAGATTTGGATTGGGATGTTCACAACCTTGGAGTTCTCAACGCAGACATGACTCACTGTAACACTTTCCTTCCTTTCTTTCTTTTCTTTTTCTTTTTCTTCTTCTTTATTTTTTTTTGGCTGTTTTGCTTACAATTATAGTACTTATATTTGTTAGCATACACTACATGGTGGTGGGTATGTGTGTAGTTATGGAAAGCTGCAGTCCGCCACTTTTCTCCCCTCTTGAATCTGATCTTTCAAGTGGCTATCTTCAAGACGCTTTGTTCAAATTTGGTGATCGATCTAAACGAAGACGATTTCTATTGTTTGATCATCACTGTGATGATCAACTTACTAAGGACTCCATAAATCCCATACAGGTACTTAAATTTATTGAATTGTGTTGGAATTCATATTTTAATTAGTATTGTGCAAGTTTTAATTTTTGAAAGTTTGAATCTTAATGCAGAGCTACTGGAACTGCAAGAATGATGAGAATTATTCAGAGAATTTCAGTTATCTTGGCCAGATAAGAAATAACAAGGATGGATTTTCAGGTGTGTGTGCATATATATTTATATATGTGTGTGTGTGCATGGCTTAATTTTGTATTATTGTTGAATATATATATATATATATATATCTCGCAGATGAAGGCATGAATAGATCCGTGAGTGAGTATGTAAGTATGTTGACAGAAACAGCAGAAGAGGCAATATCAGCTTCTGAAACTTTCGATTCTTCATCATCTTCTCAGAAAGACTCAGTTAACGAGAAGTCCACATTTGAAAAAGAGACAATATATTCCATACACCCCATATCTCCTGGTACTCTCTTTCTCTCTATATATAATATACACACTTACATACACAATGATGGAGATAATTAGAGTAACCTAATTAGGACCAACCCTAGCTAGCTAGATACTAGGTAATTATCTTAAACTAGCATATACATACATACATATGTGTGTGTGTGTGTATATATATATATATATATATATATATATATATATATATGTATCAAATGCTAAATAATTCGTTTAATTTGAATGATGTGTATGTATATATGGATCAGGAGCTGGAAAGAAGAGGAAGAAGAAGGTGATAACGAGAAGGGTGGTGTACCCATTTGCTGTGGTAAAGCCTGGTGGTGTGGAAGGAGACTTGACCTTGAATGACATAAACCAGAGAATTCTAATGCCGCCCACTCGGCCTGTGAGGCATCCTGTTGGAGACTTTGCTTGCCGCCCTCTACTTTCACTTTCTGGTGATGGAACTGGATGCAGCTTGTCTGGCAAATCAGTCGTCGCCTTTACAAGAATTCACACACAAGGAAGAGGCACTATCACTATCATCAGAACTAAAGGTTGACACTTTATACATATATTCAATTATTAGCTGTACAAATTAAAGATGAAAAAGCCCTGCAAACTGCATGTTTAATTGCTTAATGCTTGTTTGAATTTTGTATATATATAGTGATATCATATATATTTATGTATGTATGGTTGTTCACTTCTACAGATTAATTATGGTTACTCTTTGTTGCTTAATTTATTATTGTCCTAAGAAATCAATCTCCAAAGACTAGTGCTATAGAATTGTTCATGATTGGCCTGTGCAAAATTAGTTATACCTATATTACATGTTCGATCGATACAAACATATGTAAAGTACCATCAATACATATATGTTCAATGTTCAATAACATCAAATTAGTTGTAGTACTGCAGGTACTATTTGATCTGTTTTTTAAATTACTAAAACTGATATCTATAGCTGATATTTAAAGATGAAATTCAAACACTGTACTTCTTTTCCTTTATTTGATATCCTTACTAGCTTGGAATTTATTGAACAGCTGTCTCATAGTAGAATTATTTTAATTCACCTCCAACATATAGGCATATCTACAAGGACGACTAGGTTTTGTTTTGTCATCCAGATTTTTAATGCATATTTTTACTGGAGATTTTTCATGCCTTTAGTTTTATAAATTTGACCGAAAACAGTGACAAAGTAGTATTCGATTTCATTAGCACAGTACCTTTGCTTTTTCAAAAGAGTAACTCGTACAATGATATCTATCTGCTGTGTGTGTGTGTATATATATATATCTATATATTGAAAATATGTAAAAATCAAAGTGGAAATTAGCTTCGATCTCTGGGTTTTGAATAGAGGATAATTAAAGCTGAGAAATTCAAAGTCATGTATATGATGCACTTTCTCAAATTCAATTGGCAGAACATTATCTTAATCAGGAAAAGATAAGTAATGCTGTCTCATGCATTATATTTGCACCACTCAATCATTAGTCTAATTATATATATAAAATATATAAATATATATATATGTCATAAACCATTACACAAATTTCAATGGGTAGGTACTGTCTTTTATTTAAACAATAAAAAGGAACTCCATTATAATTCTCACCCATATAGATTAGCAACTTCTGCAGTATATTATTACTCCTATATATTAATATTATAGGGTAACACAAATTCTTGAAGAGATGGTATGTCCTTTTCTACATTAGTCAACAGGGTTGTTGTTGCTACTCCAACTTTAAATCTCAACGAATCTCAAGACAGGATCGAACGTGTGGGACCCATTTGAAATCAATTCTGTTATTGTTGTACAACTTGTACTCTCCCTCACTATATATGCATGTGCTAGCATCGACAAGCATCCTTTGATGCCCTCGGATTTGTTACAATGAAATTTTTTGACAATATCCAACGGTGATGATTTCAGGCAGACCAACTCCTGAAAAACGTACATGCCCACAGCTGTGTGAAATGCCCTAGCATGCCACAACTAGATTGAGCTTTTGTCTCTTTAAAACAATGATTGATCGAAACTTTTCACCTTCTTCTCAGTTATATATTATTTTTTATTATTATTATTAAAAAATATCCTATTAGGCATGCGTTAGTGTGGAATTAATTTTCTTTTCTTTTTTTTTTTTTCGGAAGAAACTAGGGTGAAATTTGACTTACTAAAAGAAAAATAGTGTCAAATTTGACTTCAGACTCAAGGGAGGTGTTTTTAAAATTTTAAATTTAAGAAAATTAATTAGGTTTAGAATTGATGTTGAATATATGATATAAAAAATTTCATCAGTCCAATCTTTAAATGCATCACCTCCCTTTATTTCCAATATATATTTAAAAATTATTTCTAGATATACGTGAGAACATTTGCTGCTGCTGCTGCTTTTTTTCTTTCCCAAATCCCAAACAGGGACAAATATATTCTCTTGAATATATATAGAGTATTATTATTTTTTTTTTCAATTGGATTTCATTGTCTTTAATGAAGAGAATATATATATATATATATATATATCAAATGATCAGCTAAAGTATGGCCACGTCATTGACTGGTCAGAAAGGACGTTTTGTGATGTCACAATCTAGTCATATGGCTTGGGCCAAGTCTGAAATATGGTCCAAACCAGCCTTAGATAATCCTCTATAAAAAGAGATTGCTTGAACTACTTGGCCCATAAAAATCAATGTCTGTAAGCCCACAGGCCATACACAGATCCAAGTTAGTGAAAAATGTTAAACTGACAAATTTCATTCCTATGAGAAATAATCCAGAATATATATGTTTTTTTTTCTGAAGCTATCCAGAATATATATGTTGCTGTCGCTTTGAGGATAGATAAATTAATGAGGGAACGAAACAGAGGAATTCTCCCCTGTTCGGTGTTCCCAACAATCTTTGACTAAACAGTGCATTATATTTATTTCCCAACAGTATAGAGAGGGAAGATCGTTACAACTTCTTCTGCATTGGGATGGAAAGAAAGGAACAGAGGAACCTCCTCTGTTCTTGCCCATTTCCGAATTCCGTATATATGTTTTGTATATACATTTATAGATCTACATATACACAGAGAGAGAAAGAGATAAGTGCTAATTGAACATTGTTTGGATTAATTAAACAATAAGCACTACAAGTAAATCATACATTAAGAGAGTGCCCTGTTGCAGTTACTCTCAATCACGGCCCAGCAGAGGTTGGACTAGAAAAAAAATGAACAATATAAAAAATTAAATGAAAATGAAGCATTACAAATAAAAAAAATTAATAATTCAGCAAGAACTAAATCAGTTCTTCAGCCAAGTTGAGGCAGAGGAAATTAAATCCAGTTGCATCTACAGAAGAGAGAATCCATTTCCATTGTATGTAGTTTTGTTAGAGCCATGAAAAAGGAGAAGTAAGAAATGGAATGGATCTTGATCTCATGAGGCGTAGGAATCGTGGAAAACCTTTGAGGATGGAAAACAATGAAAGCAGGAAAAGGCCTTGCTGAGAATTCTCCTGAGGACTTGGCCTCGTTCTGGTATCCAACGAGATGCAATGAGTGTAGGTGGTTGTGGTGGTGGTGGTGGTGGGGTGGTGGTTTGATGAGTGAGTTGTGCAGCCATATTGATGTTATATATGGCTCCAAATCAAATGGTGATTGAGTAGTAGTAGTGGTGGGCTAGGCTCGAACAGTTGTATGTGCAATGATATATGCTGCTTAAACATACTACCGACTGGTTATATATATAGGGTAGTGTTAAAAACGCGTGTGGGGGGTGGGGGAGAAGCCAAACAAGTGAGAAGCGTGTTTGAAATATGATATAAGAGATGGAATTGAGAGAGGGAAAGGAGAATCAATGAGCTTGCTAGGGTGGGTGACCCAGTACTGCAAACTTCCCCCAAACCCAAATCCTCTATTAGCTCTATATGTTGTTTGAACAAGTCCCCTCATTTGGTCTCTCTCTCTCTACATAGTGTAATTAGCAAGGTTTGAAATAGTCATTTTTCTAGAGTTTTTGATTAGTAAACTAGTTTAGAAGAGGGGAATTTGAACTAATGCACATATCTTCTTATTCTCCGTACGTACTTCTCATTCATCAATAGATACAACATGTATGTATGTCTCTCTCTCTCTTCATAATTTCTAACGCGCTTTTTTGTTTCGAAACCTGAACAAGTCTTGATATCTCTCTTTCTCCAATTTAACCCCACATGGCCAAGCCAGGGGCACAAATTCAGTCTTATAGTCAAAGTCAATCATTATTTTCATTTGGATACGTTGCTTTTTTTTACTACTTCTTATTCATTTATTTTTTGATTAAATACATTCAAATAAATGATAATTAAGTACGCTCATGCACTAACATCTAGAATATGACACCTATCTAGAATATGACACTTTGATTAAATGATAATTAAGTATGCTCATGCACTAACCTCTAGAATATGACACTTAACTAAAATATGACACTTTGATTTCCACGTGTATTTTTAAAAAAAGGGACAAATACAAAAAAACACTCTTAAAATATATTTCATCTAATATTTTTACTCTCTATTTAAAAAAGTGTATAAAAAACACTTATAATTTTTTCACATTATGCAAAAATATTTTATCTGACATAAATTAATATTGTAATATCCGTTTTTTCTTTTACTCTTCTGAAAATACTCAAAGGGATATATATGTTATTAATCTCATAGTTTAGGGGTGTTATATGTGCATTACCTTTTTAAAAAAAAAAAAAACTTTTTCTCTGTATATATATCTCTAAACTTTTTTTTTTTTTAAAAAAAAAAAAAAACTTTGAAAATTTGTAGAACAAAGATTTGCATTTTTTGTGATTTCAATTTACTATTTTTTTTTTCTTTATTTTATTTTTTTTCGTACCAACACTGTTAAAATAAATAAATATATTTCAATATCAGTATGCACTAGTTTTCGGAGTTTGGAACAGTTTTTTTCTTTATTTTGCACTTTATTTTTGTTTTTTATTTTTTATTTTTATCTTTACTAAACCAACACTTGATCAAATTGTGATGAACTATTGATAAATTATTCAAACTTTGACATTGCTTATATTCATTCAGCACACAAGTTGGATCTAAGAGGCCATTTTCAGACCTGATTGAGAATGCGATTTGAATGAGATCGACGATACAATAGTAAGAAACAAAGGAGTTTACAGTACAATGAAAATGAAGATGGAACAAACTTTACAATGGTGACGGAACAAAATCAGAGAAGGTTGATGAGGTAATCAATCATGAAAAAGGAAAGACCATCTTAAGAACTTTGCCCCTCTTTGGGATCCCACGACGTGCGACGGAGCTTACAGGAAGGTGGCGGCTTAATTAAGAATGTTTTTAAGAACGTTGCCCCTCTCTGGGATCCCACGACGTGCTGTGGCACCGCCGCCACAGAGCTTAAGAATGTTCTTAAGAAATTTGCCCCTCTCTGGGATCCAACGATCTGCTGTGGCGTTACAGCAGCCACGGAGCTTACAGGAAGCTGTCAGCAGCCTGACTGTGGTGGTGGTGGTGGTGGTTTTGGCGGGAGCAGCCATCTATATGAATATGATGGAGTGTGTGTAATTAATGGAACTAAGTGAGTTGAGTGGGTGGGCCGACGAAATGCCATATAAATGAATTGTGATGGATGCGTAACCGAGTAGAGGAGCGTGTGAGGGCTTGGTTTTGGGGGGTTAAGTTCTCTCCTCCAATATTTTAA